GAATAAATCTTATAATGTCTGCCCCTTTTATCCCCAGAATATATTCAAACAAAACATAATTTGCAAAACAATAATAATAAAAAAATAAAAATAAAAACATCTACTCAAACAACAATTCATATTGCTTCACATTTTACTTTTCCGTGTACCTTCAAAAAATTAGCTTTTATCTGTCTCTTAAATGTAGCCTATCTGGCATTTTTAAGATCATCCTCCAGGCCTTTCCATAATCCTATGTCCTGGATTAAACTATACCCTGGATTAAAGTACATAATTCGCTCAAGCAATTATGAAAATACGGCTTCACAAACATTTCCATCCCCTTAAGATAATAACAACTGTCTCTCTTAACAAAGTTTACCTGAATATTTGAAGGTACATGTTTCTGTGAGCCTTGTACATAAACAGTAAAATATTATAGTCAACCAAATCATAGAATTTCAAATTTTTCAGTTTACAAAATAATATATTTGATGGATGGCTGTAATCTTCTCTAGCAATAATTCTTACGGCTCTTTTATTGACTTGTTTTAACACTAAAGACAGTTTTTATTCTGTTATGACTCACATATTTTTGCAGAATTTATCAGTGGAGCTGAAAGTTAAAAAAAATAAAAAATGGAGATGATAAAAAAAATTGAACTGAACTCCAAATATTTCTTCTACAGCTCATTAATCTAACATTAATTTGATAAGTGATTAAAATGTGTACAACGGCGTGAAGGCTGTTTTGAAAGCTGTTTGAATTGTTGGGAACTGACAGAGTTTCTGGTGGCGAGCTGTTCGACAGGATCGTAGAGAAAGGTTTCTACACCGAGAGAGATGCCAGCCAGCTCATCCAYCAGATCTTAGACGCTGTCAAATATCTCCACGACATGGGGATCGTCCACAGGGACCTGAAGGTATATTAGTTCTCAAAACTCAGWCAGAAAGACAGATAGATTCCAAACCTCTCTGATCCTCCCTGYTTGGTCTTTGCAGCCAGAGAATTTGCTGTATTACAGCATGGATGAGGACTCCAAGATCATGATCAGCGACTTCGGTTTGTCCAAGATCGAGGGAACGGGTAGCGTCATGTCCACGGCCTGCGGTACTCCTGGTTACGTAGGTAAAAAAAAAAAAAAAATCTCCTCACCTCTTTTTGTTTTTTATACAAGCAGCTGGTATCTCGAGCTCTGAGAGGCTCTTCTAGCCACTACTGAGTCAAGTGCAAGTGTTCCACAAGTGCTCTCTTCCTATTTAGTATGACCTGTCAGATCGCGTATCACTAAAAGGTCAAGTTTACTTGAATTTACTCTGGCTGAGTGTCTCCCGCTCTGTAAACATGTAATGTGTGTTTTTCTCGCAGCCCCTGAGGTGCTCGCTCAGAAGCCTTACAGTAAAGCAGTGGATTGTTGGTCCATAGGAGTCATTTCTTACATTCTGTAAGTCACGCTTCATTAATATTGTAGACAAACACCGTTGTTAAACGTAATAATAGTTTATGTGTTTGTCTTATCGCGCTTTCAGATTGTGCGGCTATCCTCCATTTTACGATGAAAACGAYGCCAAGTTATTCGAGCAGATTCTGAAAGCAGAGTACGAGTTTGACTCGCCGTACTGGGATGACATCTCAGATTCAGGTATGACTGAACAACACCTAAGAACAACAAAGGCAAACAGAATTTATTGTTTGTTTGTTTTTTAACTTACACAATCATCTATTTTATTTACTTTTTTGTCAGCCAAAGATTTCATCTGCCACATGATGGAGAAGGACCCTTTGAAGAGATACACATGTGAGCTGGCCCTCCAGCATCCATGGTAGGAAAGTTATTCTTACRTACTTTTTAGTGGTGTCCTGATACCAATACCAGTATTTTTTTACAAGTACTCATACCTGTCCAAAATGCCCTGGGGTTGGATTTATAAAGGATTGCGTGGAAACCATACTAAAAGTGAACATACAGCCAAAAGGCAAAAATGGAGTACGCCACAAAATCAAAAAATTAAAATTTCAGATTTATAAAACCGTGCGTACACATGTTTCTGCGCACTTTTCCTTTATAAATCACAGCTGCACCTCAGAGTTTGCGCACAAGGTCCCGCCTCGGGTTCTACTGTCTACACGCCCACATTCATTCATAAACAGTCGATTCAAAGTACCTCATGAATGTTAAGATGTATTTAAATCAGTCAGCTGATCAATGTAAAAAAATTCGATTGGCCAGTTCAGATACGCACTCCGTCGTGCGTCTGGAGGGTGACTGACAACTGCTCACGTGAACAGATTGTCTGTATTTGACACAGATTATCCCTCATTTTGCAGGTTTACAGATGTTTAGCATAATCCAATGATTTTTTTCAAAAATTCAGCTTCAAATTAATTTTCTCTCAGAGCCTGCAGGACGATAAAAACAATAAATTAAATAAGTCAGATAAAGTTAGAAATAAGTTCTCCCCCGTCCTCCCCCTCCTGCCTGCTCTTTTATCTGCAGCTGACCGTCTCCTCACCCCCCACACATCCCCACAGCCCCGCGCGTGCATGAGAGAAATACGGACTTTAAAAAGTGAACTTTTTATAACATCCACACTGGCGAGGGAACACCCTGCGAGAACCCAAAGCGTGACTTTTGTTGTCGTGCTGTTGAAATGTCTCTTGTCGGGGAGGGGTCTGTGTGGGTCAGGGTCATCTGAGGAGGAAGGAGATGGATGGATGTGTGAACTTTTATTTAAGATGGAAGTTATTTCAAAGGTCCTCATGGCTCAGCAGCAGAAGCATAAATATTAAAGCTGATGATAAAGTTGAATAAAAATCTAAGTCTGTTTATGAAGGTAAATTAAATATCTGACAGTGATCATTACACAGTGTGGCTCTAATTCCTCACTTCACCGTGTCGCAGTTTCCCGTCTCCAAAATGAGCGTACGCATGGGTCAAAACTGGCGTGAGGCACCGCACATTTTCACGTCAAGTTTGGATTTTATAAATCACAACCTTTGCGTGAAAAGTGGCGTACGCAAATTTGTGGGCTCGTTTTGTGCGTATGCAAGCTTTATAAATCGGACCCCTGGTACTTAAAATCGGTACCAGTATTGATGCACGGCTGCTGGTATCAATTGAATACCGTATGTTACAGTTTACATTTCAAGTTGAAACTTTTATAGTTCCATGTTTAAGAAAGTTATACAAGTTAAAAGAAAAAGATTTTTATTTATTTAAAAAAATTCAACTGTCTTCATGTATATTTAATTTGATCCAATCAGAGTTTGACAGTAGCATTCA